AACAACAACAACAACAAAGAAAAGCTTGTTGTTAGTTCAAGGACTGTTTGTTGGCCTTTAGGAGTGTTTCCTGGTCAAGTCTGATGGAGTGTCAAGCTCTGGTCCCAAAGTCTATTTTTGGTATTCCCTGGGGACTTCATTGCTCTTCTCCCCTTGCTGTTCTGTTGCACGTCCTTAGTGTTTTGCCTCGTGTGGTGGGAACAGATCGGAGCCCTGCTTTTTTCAAACCCACCAACTAACTGCTCCAGGGAGAAAGATGAGTCGTTTGCTCCTGTAAAGATCGACAGTCTCAGAAACCTCATATAGCATCAACAGGAATAGGCCCGATGGCAATGAGTTTGGTTTGTGTTTTTGGTACTTAAAAAAAATGAACTCAATTCTTGGCAAATTCCTATTAAATATGCTTGTCATTTTTATAGCATGATGGAAAGAGAGTCACATTGTGAAGATGAAAAAATTGCTTAGGGAGAGTATATATCAAACCGATGGAGCTGTTAGTCCACAAACTGATTTTCTGTTTCTGATTTAAAGCTCCTTTTTCCTGTACTAATGGATATATTAAGTTGTAAAAATATACTCTGCTGACAAGTCAACTTTTTTTTGCATTTCTTGAAATCTTTTCTTACAGATTATGAATTATGGTGTTTGAGCAAGTCTTATTGAGGTCTCAGAATCCAATCTTCCTATTAGGTTTGCTTTTGTTGTTGACTTTTCAAAACTTTCTGTAATTCACTATCACTTTAAAAAATATTTGTTTTAAAATAATTTCACACTTCAGAACTTATGATAGTAATGTTCTTTATTCAGGTTCACCAATTCATAATATTTTGTCAGTTTTATTAGTCTGTGTACATAGTGGCTGCAACAATAGACGCAAAAAGAATAGCAATTTTGAGAATCACAGGACCAACACTGTTATCTTTCTGTTATACATAAGGTTGCTGTGAGACAGTACCTGTGGTAGTTACATAACCTGTCAACTTGAGTGAAGGCGTGGACTTGTCAATCAGGTCATAGCCAATGATGCCTCTGTGTGGGCATGGCATTCTCCTGAGGATTCTGGGAACTCCCGTCTTCCTCCCTGGAGGTGAGACACACCTCTCTCTGCTTCACTTTCC